GTATCTGGACATGTGTCTCATCTGATCACCTGTCATATCTGGACATGTGTCTCATCTGATCACCTGTCATATCTGGACATGTGTCTCATCTGATCACCTGTCGTATCTTGACATGTGTCTCATCTGATCACCTGTTATATCTGGACATGTGTCTCATCTGATCACCTGTCATATCTGGACATGTGTCTCATCTGATCACCTGCCATATCTGGACATGTGTCTCATCTGATCACCTGTCATGTCTGGACATGTGTCTCATCTGATCACCTGTCATATGACTACCAATAACCTTGTTACTAAATATATTTAATGAACTTGACAGATACACCCAGCACATCAAATGGACCAACCTCAAGTAAGCTTCCAAGAACAGATCAACCAGGTACATCAAAAAGTCTGACAAATGGGGACGATAAACCGAGCAAGAGTAAATCTGTGTCAACTAATGGGAAGTCAGCAACTGTAAACGGTGACGGAAAAATCAGTTACGATCCAAAGAAGAGTGAAGCCTATAAATCATTATTTGTCGATCCGGAGAAAGAGAAGAATAAAGAGAAACCTCACTGGGTTACTTTCAATCCATATTATTGATGGGACTGGAGGAACATTGATTGTGAAAGTATGAAGACTATTATTTCAAGTCAGCTGTCATCGCACTCGATCAGAAACAGTCATTGAGTCAGAATTATATTGGCATATATAACTTACAGTTTCTTGGTTTGAATGTGATGGACAAAGTCAGTGCAAGTCCCATATGTAAAATAACAAATACAGACTTGTATTTATATGCATTAATAATTATGTATTACCGGTCATGGCCAGACCCGTTTACTGATTTCTATAAAGAGAACTTTTTCTCACAGCCATAGAAATGTTAGTGTCATACAAACTATGTGATTACCGCATTTGTATGATTTGAAACAAAGGTTCCTAGTTCTTCGTTTTCAAAGGTTAGTATTTAATTAAATCTATTTAGAAATTATTTTTTAAGGAATTGAATGGCGGTTTATTTACATGCTTTCTAAGAAGTCATTATCATTGCTTGTTTATTATTTTATCGAAAAATACATCTTAATTTGCAACATTTTTTTTTAATTCAAGTATTATCATTATAGAAGATTTAATAAACTCCATATTCATATATTTTAGTCCTGTCTTTATCAACCTTATCAGCTGACGGATAAATCTATGAATTAAATTCTATAATGTGTGTCAGATTCTGATTGAATTTGCCACTCGGAGACAATCTACAATCCCATCATGCATTGCTGTTTCTGATTGTGCTTTGTAAGTTTGTGTTAACTCATCCTGTGATTTCAAAAAGAAGTCTCCTGGTCGTTCAAGAAACAAATCGAGAGTCAGATGCTTCACATCAAATTTTTATTTTGTGTACAATTTTGATGCAATAATGCTGAAAACTTGTGCACAAAAATTGACTTCAGCAAGACACCAGGTAATCTTGTGAGGATGTGGAAGAACCTACTAGAACAAATGTATTAGCCTGGGGGTTCAGATTTTAATATCAGAATATACATAAAAATAAACTACCGGTACTGTAGAATACTTTATTTTAGCTGGAATTAATTCTCGCTGAAAAGACTTTTTGGATGTTTTGTATGGAATTTTTACTGATTTTTGATGAGTTGAATGTGAAATATAGGAAAAAATATATATTTGCTGGATTTTATTTTCACTGAATCATTCCTTCAGCAAAAACAGCAAAAAATAAATTCCGAGCGAAAATAAAGTATTTTACAGATAACAATAAAACTATGATGCAGACAAATATTCAGATTAATTCTGCCACTGAATCTGTTTAAATTTTAATTTCTCACACATCGGGTAAATCGTGTGTATACAAGATGTACCATACAACTCATTTTAATGTATTTTTACCTTGCCCCTATCATCAAAGATAGAAAAGAAAGGTATATTAAGGGAAATATTTCTTTCTGGCGTCGTAATCGTTAATACATGTAATTGTTATTGTTTGCAAAATAACTTTACTAATTCTATTCCAAATCAGTATAAAGTCTTCCCTTAGTATGAAAGACACATGTCCTGTATGAAAATATCATGCAAAAATTGAGAAAATCTGATAAAATATTTTGACTGTTTCCACTTGACTAATCACTGGTGATACACATTCAAAGGTCACTGATCTCAGTGGTAATATGCATTGTTGTATGTGTTTAATGAAGCAAATGATTTATCTTGTAATAATATCCTTGGTAAAGTATCTCCCAAAATCAATGGGAATACTAGACTGGGTTTCAAAACCAACTGATGGAGAGAGTTTGTTGCACAGTCTGATGCACATTTGCAAACCTACCTAAAATCTATCAGAAAATCAATATAAGCACTCCTATGAACCGGGTGCCAAACTTTGATCAAGATCTGAAGCTAATAGAAAATCTGCTTAGTTCAAAGTTATCAAATCAAAAACAATACATAAAAAGCAAAATGTTGCATGCACATTTTGAAAAGAAAATTGTACTAAAATATATGTATTCTGTATTTGACAAATGAAAAATCACAGGAAGTTTTTTCAGCTGTTAGAACAGAATGATAGAGCTTTTATAATATTAATTTAAAAACGCACTTCAAAAAAAAAGATTGCAGTGTTTGAAGATGTAGATTCTCAGGAGGCAACAGTACTGTTGACTTCTCTCTCCACTGGACACCAACTACGGCAACTATTTAAGTTGATCTGCATACAAAGCAGAGCTTGCAACATGATAGTTATTCATAGAGGGCGTTTTTTTACTTTTCAAATAACAGTAGTCACACTATGAATATAATAAGGCAGTTCATATTTGTCTCAGTCAATCATTAATTTTTGACATACCCCTGTACAAAATACTTGGACAAAAGCCAGCTAAGATTTTCTGTTATTTTGCATGTTTTTTTAATCCATTCACGTCTAAATGCAGCACTTTTTTTTCTGCGATGAGGCATTTGTATTTATACTAAAATATCTGAATTACTTTGAATACAGCTGGAAATTATATCCCTTAAAATAATTAGGCACCATGTTTTTGTAAGATATTGACATCTATCAAGGACATTCAGTAGACTGCTTCCCCTCTGTTGGTTCAACCCCAAATATTGTTTGTATTCATAATTATGACAGTGCATATTTATATTGAAACAAACTGCAGCCCTGTTTTACTCCTGAATTACTTTGCATGTAACATTGCTGTACATATTTTCTGTAATGGCATAGCCTTTCTCAGGTCCACAAAGCATGCATAAAGTTGTTTTTTCTTCTTACCCTTTTGTTCTTGAGGTTCATTATGATACAGATATTTACTATTGCATTCAAGATAAATAGGTTTTCTGATGTGCGATGTTTTATAAAAGCCAAATTGGTGATTATCGTTGTCACCATGGTGATTATTGTTTTTAAGGTGATAATTATGTACAAAACTATAACACATGCGTGACCTGTCATGTCCTTTGCACAAAAAAACACATCTACTTTCCGCTTTTGGAAGTGTTCCATTCCAGGGTTCCATAAAATAACTACATAAATGAATAATTAATAGTAATGAATATGCCTCAGAACAGTCCAGTCTTGGTAATTTCACGTCTGACCAAGAATAATAAACATAAAGAATCATAAAATTGCCAGGCCTGGGCCAGTATATTGATCACATTTAATTATTCGCTAAGGTTCTAAAATAAAACTGAATATTTTTCTTCAACAGTACATGTTGAAAGTTACTATGAAATTGAATATCTACTGTCAAAATTAATATCCAGCTCAGTATGGATCTTAACAAGCAATATTATATTCAAATTATACTACATTTCCTTTTTATTCTCATAGTTTGCAAATTCCATATTGATAATAATGTATTTTAACTAGATTTTATATATAGAAAATAAATTAAGTAATTATTCTATCACCATGGCAACAACTCTGCTGTCACTAAGGTGAAAGTCATGTTACTATGCATAATAACACCATATTGCTTTTATTTACATTATATTAAAACTATACAATATTCCAGAATCGTGCGATCCAAGTGAATACATATGAACTGAATAGAACTCAAATAATTTTAATTCAATCTTCTTCAAATTTCATACATTTACAACCTGTTTTGAATCTTGAAGAAGTTATGGCTTAAAATAAATAAGTGTTCTGAAACAAATTTGACCTGTACTATTACAGCAACATTTTGTTAGGAATATGAGGGAAAATCTTTTATTATTATTGGCATAAACATTTTTATTATAACTCTTACTAGATTGCGGTCAGTATTTTTCCTTCAGATATGCTATCTGAACCCTGACCAACCATAATTTTGATAACTATTTTCCCCAT